CTGATATGAACCAGCCTCCCTTCCTTCTCCTTCCCCCTCTCTTCTCTCCTCCCTCCCTCCTTTCCTTCCTCCATCTCTCTGCTTCATTACTTTCTTTTTCTTGTCTGTCCTTTGCTCAAGTTAGAGACTTGGGCTGTTAGGGACCGCTCTGCAGTTAAGCGCACCAGCTGCTCTTGCAGAGGACCCGGGTTCCATCCCCAACACCCACACGGCAGCTCACGACCTTCTGTGGCTCCGGTTCCAGGGACCCCAACACCCTCTTCTGACCTCTGTGGGTGCATCGTGTATGTGGGATACAGTCGTACATGTAGGTAAAACAGTCATACACAAAGTAAAAATTAAAAAAAAAAATGCCCCATGTGGCTGGCCTCGAAATGGCTGTGTAGCTGAGGGTGATCTCCTGCCTCCAGTTCCCAAACGCTAGCATTACAGACTCAGGCCTCTTTGTCCAGCCCAGGAATCTTAGCATCAAAGCCGTGGCCTCTGAGTCACAGAGGCTGTTCTAGTTTGTTTGGGGGATCCCTGAAATGAGGCTTCCAAAACGGAATCGGGAAATGTCTGTCTATGCCAGGAGAGAGGTTCTGACAGAGATGTGTCAACAGAGAGAGGAGAAACCATGGATTGGTGCCAGCTCCCAAGCTGTCACCGGGTAGATGTAGCCTTTGAAATGTTCCTTGCTGGAAGCTGCCCCTCTGGTCTCCCATACCTCCTCTCTGTGGAGGTGTTTCTGCTCCCCAGTCTAAATATGCGATCCCCCTGCCCTTGTGAGAATTTCCCAGTCCTACCCGAGCTCTGAGCCACAGAGGCACAGCTGGGACGTCCAAGTGGGTGACTTAAGGGACTCCTGAGGGGCAGGATGCGCTGGCTGGAAACAAAACCAGTTTAACCGAGCTGAGCCTGCCTCTGGCCAGGGTCCCAGATTGCCTCTTGCCTGGGGAATGGGGAGACAGCTGGGGCCTAGCAAGACAGAGGCCTGGGTAGAGCCCCCACCCCACCCCCAGTCCAATCCCAGATGACAGATGCCAAGGCACTGTTTACTCTTTGCCAGGAGTAAACATTCTTCAGGAGACAATAAAAAGTGCTGGGGGCAGAGGGCAGGGGTGCAGGGTGCCTTTAACCCTTTGTGGTCCAGCCAGAGGTGGTGGTACTTGGGAGGCAGAGGCAGACAGATTTCTGAGTTCCAGGCCAGCCTACTCTACAGAGTGAGTTCCAGGATAGCCAGGACTACACAGAGAAACATTGTCTCAAACAAAACAAAACAAAATAACAACAACAAAACCCCTTGGTGTTCTGGGTGATGCTGGCTCTCTGTCCTTTCTCCTAGAAGTTTGGCCTCAGAAGGTAAGGGCTGTGGGGCAAGAGATGCTGACCTATTTGTGAAGGAACCGTAGGGAGACTCCTGACCCAGGGGCAGGATGAGTGAGTTCCTAGCCCTGGCATCTATAGCTGTCTGACTGGGAGCTGAGGGCTCAGCTATTCGGACTTCTAAGGCAACATGTGCAGGACAGGGAGGCGACCCAGACTTCATGGTTTTGTTGAGAAGGTCAATGACCAAAAGGCAATGGGCCAGCGATAGCACACAGTAAGTCCTCAGGATGCTTGGTTAGGGTAAATAAATTCAGGAAGTGTGACACAGCTGTGTTGAGCCGGAGACTGGGCAGGCTGTCTGGGATCTCCATACCCAGGCAGGCACACACTCACACGCAAGTGGCTCTGGTGCTCAGGTAAGGGACTCACAAGTCCATGAATAGACCTTGTGAAGTCTTTGGGGGGCGTGGGGACAGAGGCTATAAATCCTTAGAGCCTTACAATGCCTCTGTCTCAAGACTACTGAATCACCCACCATCTCCCACAGTCCACTACATGGTTCAGCTTTCTCAGGAAGCTAAGCAAATCCTCTTTCAGGAGAGCCAGACCCCTAGCATACCTGTGCACACCTGTGCACGCCTGGGCACACCTGGGCACACATGCCAGCAGGCCCTGCCCTCTAACAGAGCAGACATAGAGGTTGCCTTCCTTACTCTGGGTCTGTGAATGGATGCTCTTCAGCCAGGTCCTATTTCAGCCATGCCAGGGTAAGGAGATGCACTGTCTGACTAGACCACCTGCTTTGTCTTGGAGACCCCTCTGCCTCTTCCACGACATCTACCAAACAGCTCCCATTTTCCTCTCAGGCTTGGCTCCATGACACTTCCCTGGGTAAGTTTCCCTTGTGGTCACCACCCTAAGTACCTGGAGCCACATCCACCCTTGACTGCTGCTGTGCCACCTGTAGCCAGACACAGGATACCTGTCCGTTATCTTACACCTTTATTATCCATTCCTGGGGCACCCCTGGCTCCCCAACACAGGGTGCAGACATCTCTTAGCACCATGCTAGGTATGGCCAGGGTGAGTGGCAGGAGCAGAGACCAGTGGCATCACTGGCCTGTGAGCTGACTGTTCAGTCCCTGTGTGCTGTAGGTGGTTCCTCCGGGAATTCCACAGTCCAAGCCTGGCTCTGGGAGTTCTCCGTTTGTGAACAGTCCTAGCTCCCTCGATCCTCCTGGGGCCCGTGTACAACCTGAAGAGGGACCCAGAGAGCTCATGTGTATCCCCAGATCAGTGGCTGTCTGTCTGGGACCTTGGATTCTGGGATACCAGCAGCCCCTGGATTCAGAGTGAGCAGAGAGGCCCAGGCCATCCAGAGAGTGGCTGCCTGGGGCAGACTGTAGGCTTCTGATCTTTGTGGCTCTCAGACCGGATGTACAAACTGGTAGACGAGGCGCTGAGAGATATCGGGTTTGCGAATGATGCCTTTCTTGTAATACTGGCGGATGGAGCGGCTTAGTTTATCGTAGTTCATGGCCGGCCGGTTCTTACGCACACCCC